AAAATAGACTCGCTAAGAAACGTAAAATCCGAGTAATTTATTAACATTCCCGGAACTTTGACAAATATATCAGTTGCGGGGTCCTCACCTGGCCGGGCTCCTCACCTGGCCGGGGTCCTCACCTGGTCGGGCTCCTCACCTGGCCGGGTATCATATCTTCCTTCTCCTACACTGAGAAGCTTAGCTGTATACACATATAAATAATACTTTTACTCTTTTTTTTTGTGTACTAGGTTTTGCCTCTCTCTCTCTCTCTCTCTCTCTCTCTCTCTCTCTCTCTCTCTCTCTCTCGGGTGAAAATTAAGGCTGTATAGCGTGTATGCCTTTTTGCCGGGCTCACACCAGGGTGACAGATGTGTATGAGACATTCCAACCAAGTCACGATAATTAAAGCTTCAGAAACCTTATTTTGTTGGTCAGTGTCACAACCACAATGTTCGTATTGAGGTAAACAATTATTAATGAATGCACAGAAGTTGTCGTAGAGGTTTACTAAAGATTTATTTATGTAATTATAATGTTCGAAATATTTACTGACGATGCTTGGTGTGTTAGTTTGTATGTCGCGTAAGTTGAACCAGTCAGTATTTTGTATGTTGTATGATCCGGTGTATAGCCCTGGTGTGTATAGTACGTCTCTCCCGGCTCACGAGTATACTGAAGGGATTTACTGTTCCGAAGATTCATTTACCCGAACTTTCATCAGTAAACAAAGCTTCGGAACAAAGAACCGAGTGAGTGGAGGGTTTCCTGTGATAGTGGGATTCATGGCGCTTTGAATCAGTGAACCATCGGGTAAATGAACTGTCGGATTAAGGACCTTTTGGAGCATCGGACACCCTCGGGGATCCTGTCAGCTTCTCTTTTTTTTTTTTCCCCCTGCGAGTTAACTCTTTCCTCCCCCTTTTCCCTTCCTATGAGAGATACATTTCCTAGCCAACATCCGTAACTTCCGTGAACGTACTTTTAATATACGGTAGTTATGGTGGTTATGGACGCTGTAGTTACTGTGTGTTAATGGGGGATGTGATCAGATTTCTATGGAATGTTTGAGACACTTTAAGATTTTTACGGGTTGGTGAAGAAAATTTATACTGTCAAACTTATCACCAGGAAGGCAAAAAATATCCCTACATGTGTTACTGTAGTGTGGGAATTTCCTCGACTTCTTCTCTAGGGTGGTAGGGTAAATTTCCCCGCTCCTCTAGGGTGATTGGGTAATTTCCCCTAGCATCTCATGTACCGTAACGGATAAAACATTCATAGTTTTCTTAATACCCAGGGGGAAACATCCCCAGCTGCCCTATTGTTGTAGGGGAACATCCATAACTCCCCTAGTGTGGCGGGGGAACATCCATAGCTCCCCTAGTGTGGTGGGGGAACATCCATAACTCCCCTATTGTGGCGGGGGCATCGATAACTCCCTAATGTGGCGGGGAACATCCTAACTCCCCTAGTGTGGCGAGGGAGCATCCAAGCCCCCTAATGTGGCAGGGGGAACATCGATAACTCCCTAATGTGGCGAGAACATCCATAGCTCCCTAATGTGGCGGGGAACATCGATAACTCCCCTAATGTGGCGGGGAACATCCTGCTCCCCTAGTGGCGGGGAACATCCATAACTCCTTGTTTGGCAGGGAACATCCGTAGCTCCCCTAATGTGGCGGGGAACATCGATGCTCCCCTAATGTGGTGGGGGAACATCCAGAACTCCCCTAATGTGGGGGGAACATCCATCTCCCTAATGTGGCGGGGGAACATCCATAACTCCCCTAATGTGGCGGGGAGCATCCATAGCTCCCCCTGGTGTGTGGTGGCAGGGAACTCTGAAGGACGTCCGTTATCACACAGGATCAAGGCAGGACAATTCCACAATTTGCGCGGGATCTGATAACCCCCTCCCTCCCCCCTTTCCTTCCACCCCTCCTTTCCCACCTCCCTCCTTTCCCTCCACGCCGATTGTTCTTTGTTACACTATACCGTCCGTACTACAGCGTCTGTGTGATTGTCTGTTTGATTGTCTGTATGTTTGTTTCTGTCTGTAAGTTTGTGTATACGTCTGTCTGCTTGCGTCTGTATAGCTCAGTGTAGTGTGGAAGGTGTCTAGCAGTCACTGATGGATAAATAATATCGATGTAACTCATAATACTAGTGTAATAGTAATGTCTACCTGTTTGGTACACTTACGAGGAGACACTGGCAGACGTATTGTAGATCACACTGACAGACGTATTGTAGTCACACTGGCAGACGTATTGTAGATCACACTGGCAGACGTATTGTAGATCACACTGGCAGACGTATTGTAGTCACACTGGCAGACGTATTGTAGTCACACTGGCAGACGTATTGTAGATCACTCTGGCAGACGTATTGTAGTCACACTGGCAGACGTATTGTAGATCACACTGGCAGACGTACTGTAGATCACACTGGCAGACGTATTGTAGGTCACACTGGCAGACGTATTGTAGTAACACTGGCAGACGTATTGTAGATCACACTGGCAGACGTATTGTAGATCACACTGGCAGACGTATTGTAGGTCACACTGGCAGACGTATTGTAGGTCATAATGGCAAACGTACTGTAGACTGCCTGCTGGCCACTGGCAGATCGACTCGGCCACAATGTAAAAGACATTCTAAGTATTTGTAAACCTCATAATTGCATATTACTTTCAAGGTAGTTTTATCTTTCACTCTTTCAGTTCTTTTCTTGAACACATACACACGCACATACACACGCACATACATACATACATACATACATACATACATACATACATACATACATACAGTTGTGATAGGTGCCCAGGTGTAAGTGGTCCCCATCCACAAGAACAAAGTCCCAAATATCTCTCATAGACATATTACTAAAAGATTGTAGGAGTCAAAAATAACCGTAAGTGTCCAGTAGTGAAGATGAGCCACACGTATTATTTCGAATCAGTACGGTCCGGCTCTCTCTCTCTCTCTCTCTCTCTCTCTCTCTCTCTCTCTCTCTCTCTCTCTTGACATTTTCAAATCGGATTAATTTGATATATGACCCCGAGCGTTGATAGCTTCGTATAATCCGTCGTTGGGGGGAATCAGAGGTTTTTTTTTTTAAGTATAGAATATGTAAATGTGGATTACCGTAGTTATAATGGTTATTGAAGGTTGTAATAATTAGATTTTATGCTTTAGGTGTTAGATAAAAATGAAGGATATATGGCAGTAATGATAATAGTTTCCTGTTGATTATAGTTTATTTGTCTTGTTTATATTACAGTAAGAGGTCTGTGTATATAAATATTTATATTATTTTTTGGTGTTTTGTCCAGTGTTGTACATTTATTTTTGTGTAATTGTTGTTATTGTGTAGTTTTGCTATTTGTCACTTTCTTAAAATTTATAATTATTATATCATGATACTTTTTGTTTTCATATCACAAATATTATAAAATTCGAGATAGACTGACAGTGGTTGAGGTAGGGAGTGGTTGTCGGTGGTGGTGTATTAAATTAGCTGTTTCTCCCGTACCACCTTGAAGTCAATTTCTTATCAGTGTGTGTGTGTGTGTGTGTGTGTGTGTGTGTGTGTGTGTGTGTGTGTGTGTGTGTGTGTGTGTGTTCGCATCTCTGCAGCCACCTCCCTCCCCATTATTCCCCCGTAATAAAAAATGAATAACAAACACTACTCCTCTAGCATAGTTACTATAGTTTGTATTTATGAATTAGAAACTCGTACACAAGTTTTTGCTGGAGGTGAATAAGAAGTGTCATAGCCTGAGACAAAGGAAGTTGACAATAACAGTTGGTAGAGGGTAGTTCCCAGGTCGGCGGCATCAGATAGAGGCCGTGTGTGTGGGGTAGATAACATCTTGGCCTGGCGCAAGAATAATGTAAACAAACTGCCACGGTGAAACTTGGGCAGGCAGGTCAAGTGGCGCGCATCCACCAATCAGCGAAGAGTTCTGGGTCGGTATGCGGCATCAAGGCAAGTGGATGACTGATGAGAACTTAATTGAAGTTATTTTTAATCTTACAAGATATTCACATCGTTGAAGTTAATAAATCGCCCGAATCCATGTGAGTTAAGATGTAATCCATCCATGCACAGGCACACCGAAGTGCAAGTGCATGACTTAGAGATTATAGAACCATATGTACATGTAGAACAAACTTATTCTTTAAGGTATGAATTTATTCACTTTGATACTCACAGTAAATGTGTTATAATTAGATTAATTATAATTACTTTCGGTATTGCAGCTAAATTGTTTTTCGGATGATAATTGGATTAACAGCCATGATGGAATTAGCGTAAAGGAACTACTGTACCAATATCAGTGTTTGAGACTGAGTAAAGCTTGATTTGGTTTGTGAATTGTTTGTCTTGATATAAACAGATAAGAGGGAGGGGGGTCATATGAACATTAGCCCCATGAATATTTTACCGGAAGTTTAAACACGCTAATGCTACCTGGAGGTTAGGTTAAGTTAGGTTAGATTGACATAGGTTAGATTGTTTTATCATCAAGTGTAATGTGCTGGGGAGCCTTATTTTCAGGCGGTCTGACGTAAGTACTACCTCATCACTTTTTATATTGAATGGTGTTAAAAAAAATGTGCAGTTATTTGCAACTTGTATTAAATGAAGCTTTAATCCTGAAACCCCATTTTACGGCCGATCCCACAACCAAATAATCTTAGAGACCCACCATTCTCCAAATTGGTAACTTAAAAATCAGCTGGAAACAATGTATTTACACCTGAGTGAATTACAAAACTGTACAGTACAGTATTGCTGAACCATCTGTTGACTTCTGTTTCCGATGGGGATGTATTACAATTCTTTGCGTGATTACCAGGCTAATGTCAAGGATTTGTATAGGCCTGTAAACATAGTGATCTTTACTGTACTTAAATGGGTTAGATGTGGACTGCCACAACAATAGGTTTTCAGGACTAATCATTTTTTTTATTACATTCAGTAACTAATATAAATTTTCAAATTTCAGCACATGCACAGAACACTGACTCGGCCTACGAATACGAGTATGACGACACTCCCAACGATTATGAGGCAAACTTCTACGATCCTGAGAGCCCTCCAACCTTCGTGGCCAATTCACAACACTTCTCTGTTGAAGTTGGAGGAGACATAACCTTTCCCTGTGAAGTGGAAAACCTTGGTTAGTGTCAGTTGTTCTTTCCAGGAAAACTTTTATTTTATTAATTGCATTGGAGTCAAAGATCAGTAAACAAAGTTTTGTTGAGTAATTCTTAGGTTTCTCCTATATGAAGCACTACTGTATATCATTTATATCCTGAAGAGTATAACAGTGCAGTACTGGACTGTATATATTAGTATCAGGATAAGTTTAGTTTATATTTAAGGAACAAATTCAGGTGTATCAGTTATGTGTCAGTTGCATCACTTTATCCCCTTAACATCAGACCCAAAGACGGTACAGTACTTCAGAAATGTCAGTAGTGAAATCCATCAAAACGGCATCTATTACTGAAAATAATTTAAGTTCTTGATATTGCAAAAGAACTGCATGGGTATCCGCAGGGTGTTTTTCCAGGGTGCTAGAAAACAAGACAAGGCCTGACATATCAGTTTATTCAAAACAGGTACTGTGTATACCTCCATATAAGAGTATGGTAAAGTATAATAGAGTTACTTTCGAGTATAATCGGCAATATCACTTATCATTGTTATCACCAAATTATTAATCACTAAAAGTATTATTAAAAACTTACAAAAATAATTCATTTGATATCATTAATCGTAAAAATCTAGCGATTACCAATGCTAGCTGTCTTTTACGATAGTGACTTGCTCAGAACATTAGCAGCATAATTTCAATGGTGAAGGCTTCCTTTCAGTCTGTCACCTTTTAGCTATGCACGCTGAGAATGCACAATCCAGAGAAGGGTTCAGTTGACATTGTTGATTGATGCCATGTCTTAATGTGTCCCAGCTTGCTAAATGACCGCTCTATTTCACAAGTGGAGGCTGGAAGTGTCGAGATCAGTAGAGCTTATCGAATGCCAGGAAACAAATCACACTGCTTCAGAAGATCCATCAAGGTTGCACCGGAATCAGATGCAGTTTTCTTCTGGGAATGTTGACGCTGTGTCCACATTTCAAACCAAAACTACAACTCAGCAAAATTATTGATATTGTAGATATCATTTAACTATGCCATCTTTTCCTACAATAATGAACCACAACTTGGTTTTGCAAGTGCTTAGTATACATGAACTCATTGTAGTAGATTTTTGAAGCATAAATGAAAAACAAATTATCCCCGGGTTTACCGAGTTCAGGGCTTTCCACAATACGTACAGTATTTGCATTGCTCTTATTTTCATTTAAGAATGATAATATTAATGAATGGTTATAGTGTTTATAATTATGTGTCATATTATACTAAAAAATATCATACTAGTTATCAAAACTTGAAAACCCCACAATTAGTTAAATAACGTTACACTATGCAAAGAGTATCTGAAAAATTATAATTTAACTACAGTAACCGTAAAATAATCCATAATTAGGCAGTTTTGATGACAAGTGATTGCTGCTTCATCGTGACCTAACACCAAGTACTGTTTTGTATGCTGTACTTTATTCCTCTGTGATGTCAACATCATGACAATCTTACCCTTGTCAGCCAGCCTGGTCCAACCGCCAGTTGTCACTCTTATCAATGACATCATAATTCTCACACACAGAGGAATTGTCAGAAGTACTAGCTTACCTCAGGTGTCTATTGTGGGAACATCAAGGAACAAACTGCTCACTTAAAAACTTGTAATATCATAGACATATTGTGAACAAGGATTGCAGAAAAAAAGAACATTCCTCATTTTCTAGATGGATTCAAGTGCTCCTCCCTGCTGATGCCCATGCCTGTTCCACTACAGATCAGTCACAAAGTTTGATGAGCTTTAACTTTACTGAATCATATTTCCCCCCAAATTTATGAAAACTCGGTTGAAATTAATCAGAAAGCATATTTGGCACAGTTCCCTCCACGGAGTCCAACTGCCTTTCATGTCTAAAGGTTGACAATATATATCTTTTCATCCACCTACTGGTACAGTACAGTAGTACTTTTTTTTGCACAGTTGTAGATGGACCACAGTTAGGCACCTTTGCCAATTACCTGTATGTTCTTAAGTCCAAAGGTTCTACTTCTGACTCCACTCTCTCTTACAGTAACTCAATATCATACAAACTGAAAAATCGATTCCGAAGACTATTTGGCATGGCTTTTACAATGATTATTCAGATATAAATTGCAGCCACAGTTAATGGTGCTTTTTTTTATATTTAAAAAGGTTATTCCAGCCATGATCTGTATTATCACTACAGTAGACTCTTGCCATTCACGAGTTTGCCTATACACAATTTAGACGACTCGCGGTAAGCAGATGGTGGCTGTGGTGGCTAGCTTGCAACCCCTTTTCCTGCACCACAACGAGTCACCCCACGCAGCATCTCGTGTTGTGCTCTCATAACTTTAGTGTTTCTGTGTGAAATGGCCCCTAAAAGACTGATGCTAGTGGAGTGAAATGTAAAAGGCAGAAGTCAGTGATGACCCTGACAAAGAAAGTTTTATTTTTTAGGCAAGTTAAAAGAGGGGATGAGTGCTGCCGTGGCTGGTCAGTTGTTTGGTATAGGTATACAGTAGCGCACTAAGGTAGTATAAGTTGCTATTCGTGGTTTTGCCTATTCGCGCCGTTTCTTGGAGCCTATCCTTCGCGAATGGCAGGGACCTACTGTATATAATAAGGTTGTTCTGACAAGTTTCATGTTTACAGGTGACCAAGTTGTGATGTTCAAGCACATTATGCTCAATGGTGAAGACAGATTACTGTTTGTTGGAGAAATTGATGTAAGTAATAATTAACTGTATTACTGTACTTTCTTCATGCTTCAATTTGAGTTATTCTAAACCAAGTGAAAGACAGACATTTTAATTTTTATACAGTTCAGGTATAATGTATTACGACCCTCAAATAACATTAAAGCTGCACTCAATAAGCCACGGTAAATGTTCATAATTTGCTTAGAAATAACAATACGAAATTTTACCATATAAATTTAGGCCAGGGTGATTGTACACAAGGGTGATAGAGGTGAAGCACTTGGTGGTGTCAGGTATCAATGCTCATTCTTTCCACAGGTGGTTGTGGTGAGATGCTTGGTGAAGTTGTGTATACAGTAGTTGCCTGCACTCCTAGTAGGTCAGCGGGTGGTGGTAGTGAATATGAAGTGTGTATGAGAGGGACACTGTGATTAAGGTGTTGTATTGTATGGGGAAGGGAATGCAGTGTGTGAATGAAATGAATGGATGGAGGAAGTCTTCAGTGTGTGGGTAAAGGGATTTATTGTGTGGATGAGTGAAGTGTGTAGTGGGAAGGGGTATAGATTGTTTGGAAGAAATGGTTTTGTGTGAGGGGGAATGGGTGTTTCGTATATGAAGGAGAAGGGTGTAATGTATATGTGTATTTGAGTGAATATTTGTTGTATTGTGTAATATACAACATACAGTACAGTACCCGTATATTGTTTCTCACTTTTGATCTTTTTTGCATTTTTGTATTTCTTTATGGTTCTTTATTATTATTATTACGGTGTTATTATTATTCGTATCATTATTATTTTATTATTTTTCGATTTTGTATTATTTATTTTAAATTGTATTTAAAGGTACTTTGAATTATTATTATTATTATTATTATTATTATTATTATTATTATTATTATTATTATTATTATTATTATTATTATTACTACTACAGTACAGTATTACATTTTCGCCCCCCATGCCTCGATGTGGGTCAGTGACCTGTGCCTGAGTGGGCTAATCCCCCAAAAAAAAATAAAAAACCTGCTATACCACAAACACCCCATGTGTTTGATGTTTTAAAATTTCATGGGGTAAATTATAATATCCTCATATTATTTTTATATTGCAGTTGAAACCTGCAGCAAAATTCACCAGGAATGGAAACTCATATGTTTTGAATGGTGTGACCAGACGACATGCCGGCAAGTATGTGTGCCGCATTGAGACCTCCCCGCCCACCGAGCTGGAACACACGCTGGATGTGCAGTACCCAGCATCGGTGAGTAATGTGTTAAGGGATCATGAGGAACTTATACTTTATGAGATAATGTTAAAAGAAAAATAAGGTACATTTAATGGGAAATGAAAAAGAAGGTACATTTAATGGGAAATGAAAAATAAGGTACATTTAATGGGAAATGAAAAATAAGGTACATTTAATGGGAAATGAAAATTACAGTAATCTTATTTGATGTACGACATTAGTTATTTCAATCCTAATTCATCACAGGTAAGACGTGAAAGTGAGAAGGTTCAGCGTGTGGTCCAAGGGTCAAGTGTGACCCTAGAGTGTATGGCAGATGGTAATCCGACTGCTGCCATCAGCTGGAGCCGTCAACAGGGACACTTACCTTCTGGAACACAATCTGAAGAGGTAAGTATAAAAGCTGTTTTTTTATTGCAGTGACTCAATTCAATCCTGGTATAGTGGGAACCAAGCATTGTCAGATTTTGGAATGTGCCTTTTTTAGAAACCCTCCTCATCCTTCTCACCTTAATAAGCAATGCCTGTTACAACACCAGCATCACTACACTCAACACAAGGCAATAAATGGCTTGTAAGAAGTCATAATTGGGGGAAAACTTAGAATTTGTCAATGAAACAACTGGAGATACTTCATTACAAGCTCAGGAACTGTAATCAGTTTATTACCAGCAGTGTAGACAAGAACAACAGCAAGGACCTAGTACAGTAATTTTGAATTTTGTGGTACTTTTTGCTGTATTTCAGACAAAATTGAATTACCTGTATTTGAAACATTTTACTGTTAATTTGGGGGAACTTTTGGTTTTCGAATGCAAATATCAGTACAGTATTAAGCAAATTTAAATCCTTCATTAAATATCATCTGTGGTACTGAATGATTAATGATGATCTTGGAAGATTTAAGGATTATCAGTAACCGGAATGTTTTGAGGGGTATTACGGCAGTGTAAGCAGTGATGAAATATTTTGTCAATCAATTTTAACCAGTGGAATAATGCAATTTCTCACAGGGTCTGAGCATTACCTTAGAAAATGTCGACCGCCACGTTGAAGGAACATACATCTGCACAGCCTCTAATGGTATTGGAGACCCTTCTTCTGCTAGCATGACAGTTGAGGTGGAATACCCTCCTGAGGTCATCACTGAACAGGTAATTGTAGCACTTCATTTCTTTCTGTACTAGAGGTGTGTTATAATTGCAAGTGCTTTTTATACTGTATTTTTTGTTTGCTCTCTCTCTCTCTCTCTCTCTCTCTCTCTCTCTCTCTCTCTCTCTCTCTCTCTCTCTCGCTCTCTCTCTCTCTCTCTCTCTCTCTCTCTCTCTCTCTCTCTCTCTCTCTCTCTCTCTCTCTCTCTCTCTCTCTCTCTCTCTCTCTCTCTCTCTCTCTCTCTCTCTCTCTCTCTCTCTCTCTCTCTCTCTCTCTCTCTCTCTCTCTCTCTCTCTCTCTCTCGCTCTCGCTCGCTCTCTCTAGCTCTCGCTCTCGCTCTCTTCTCTCTCTCTCTTCTGCTCTCTCTCTCTCTCTCTCTCTCTCTCTCTCTCTCTCTCTCTCTCTCTCTCTCTCTCTCTCTGCTCTCTCTCTCTCTCTCTGCTCTCTCTCTCTGCTCTCTCTCTCTGCTCTCTCTCTCTCTCTGCTCTCTCTCTCTCTCTCTCTCTCTCTCTCTCTGTGCTTTCCTTAGTCTTTTTTGTTACCTTTCTTGTAGTTTTCAGTTGCATATACCGGTATCCTCTCCTCTCCTCTACTGTCTTCATTCCTTACCTGCTTCTTTCTTTTACTTCCCCTGTATTTACCTTTTCACTTTCCAGATTCCTTCTTTTTCTTTCCCATATTTCCTTCCTTCCTTTACTTCTCCCTTGAGTATCCTGTACTTAATGAGAAAGCTTCTTTTTTGTCCATTCAGAATAATCATCTCGCATATATACAGGCAGTCGGGCAATCTTCCACACTTATGAATGGAATCCTAATACAGCCATCACAATTTTTTTTAATTAAAATCCTATGTTTTTCCTAATTTTTATTATTCTATGCAGGTAAACCCCGAGATACAATATCCCAAGATGCGGTGTTTCACTTTAGCGATGGTTATAAATCAACAACCTCTCCCAATATAGATCAAAACAACTCGCTTCTCTACCTTCACTTGTCAGCCTGCCCACGTGGTGATACATGTGTGTTTGGGGACTGGCTGGGAACGTATCCCATTGAACCCCAAGTTATAATGCTCCCTATTTATGATATGTCACCTAGCAATGGGTTTTTCAGGAATGTCACCCCATCGTATCTCGGGGGTTGCCTGTACTGTGTAACATCACTTTATTTACAGTACTGTATTTACATTATTTATTGAGTATAGGATATCATTGTTGCTTTGTATGGTCAGGGTTGTGCTTTAACCTAACATAACCGATGGAATTAATACTGCTCTGACTTACGAACAAGTCCACTTACGATCGGGGTCCTGGAACGTAACCCTGTCATAAGTCGGGGAGTGCCTGTAGATCAGTATGTGACAAACTAGCATCTACAATCAGGTATAGAGATTGTTATTACCCAAAACACTTTGGGAGTGTAAATGCACTTTCCACCTTGCATAATTATGTAAATATCATGTTTGATGCAGGTTATGTTGAGTGCAAAGTGCTGCCTGCTGTTAAGGATATTTTGTATTATTTTGAAGCTTAAATTTTGTTTACATATTGAAATAACCACAAAGATTAAAGAGCATTTTTTATTGAAACCGTGTCATATTTAGTAACATACAGTATGTTACAGTTGTCATAAGAATATTCTCTGATTGTAATCCTCTTTGTAGGCAATTCTCCACACTGGTGAGGGTGATGAGGCCAAACTGATGTGCATTGTTCATGGTCGTCCCACCCCTGCAGTTTCTTGGAGCAGGAATGGAGACCCACTCATGACAGACAATCACATCATTGAGCATGACAGCCTCCACCGTCACACACTTACCATTAGCAAAGTGAAGGAGGAAGACTTCGGTGATTACACTTGCACAGCTGAGAATGCCCGGGGACAGAAAGCAAACACACTCAGACTGACTGGTTAGTGAAGTGTATTATATTAAGTTAAAAGTTTAAGATTCACTTAATACTGTACATGATAATGAGTACTGTACAGTAAAGCTTTTGCTAGCCAGACTAAATTCATTAACAAGCTTGTCGATTGAGATGAAATTTCCTTGCACCTGCTTAGTTTATACCCTTGTGGGGATGAAAGAAAATTTAGCAGAACTAGAAATATGTATTCTTGTACTCACCAGAGTACAGGGAGGTGAGTAGCCTCATACCACAGGTGGTCTTCCAACAGTTATAGTCTTTTAATACTTAAAAGTTTTTTAATTTTAACAAGCCGGCACGGTAAATGGCACTGGAGCACAAAAGCAGACACGAAGTGGTAGACTACATATTTAACTAAAAAAAATTGGCTTGGTATTATTTGATGATGGCTATTGCTTTGTTGTAACCACCAATTATTGGCTGACATGATGGTGTTACTTCACCATATTAATTCTTGGCATCTTTCAGGCCTTCCAAAGACCCCCAAGATGACAAGCAGTCCTGCTGGTGGGGAGAAGACCTCCTACACACTCACCTGGGAGACAGAAAGCTACACCCCTATTGCCCAGTACCGTCTTCAGTACCGGAAATTTAAGGTAGGTAACTTATTGTAATTAGCACACCTTTGTAAATTCATAGCGAGAAAGTGACATGGCTAGTTCTGACAGATTGGAGAGGGAATATTTAGTCTTTGACATTTCAAGTATTATTTTGTTCATTATTATGTACTTTAAATCATCTAATGTACAGTATATGATCAGAATATCTTTAATCTTTAGCTATAAACTTACTTTTAAATTACTGTCTAATAAAAAAAAGTGGCTGGTAACTTCTGTACTTATGAATTAACTGCTTATGGAAAAATTTATTTACATTCTGCAACACCCAAAATTAACTTAATTTTCTCCCATCATTTTTTCATTACTTTTTCTTAGCTGTGTTTTTCTTCATGCTCTTATTGATTATTTATTATGTTAAAGTTGAAATACTAAAAGGTGTGTAAAAAACTGGAAATTAGGTTTAATCATTAAAACCTGTCATCTAGCACTAAGAGAGCCTCTGAATGATGGATGGGCCCAGCCATCTGTTGGTGTGCAGGGAATGTGAATGAATACCTGCTAAATTTTTAAGATTTTTCATTAACTTAGAAAATAATGGATTACCAGTAAAAGAATTGCCAACTAATGGGGGCTACCTCTATTTACAGTATATTTACTAGAAACTTAAGACAATGTGAACATATTAACCTTATTTCTGGAAGTCATATACTGTATACTGTGTATTGTGCTTTCATTAACATGAAACTACAATACGTATGATGTCATAATTTTAAACTGATTTCTGGACGTTAGCTTTAGTGCTCTTATATGATCTGAAACTTAGGAACACTTAGGCCATAACAAGAAGCTGAATTCTGGACTTAATAGTTTTGTGATATAATTTATGCTCTTACAGCCCAATGTTACAACTCAGGCCCCAGGACAGTGGATTGACAGGCTTTATTCACCAAAAACATCAGAGAACAACTTCACTGGCCCTATTCACCACATGACCCATCCTATTGAAATGCTTGAACCTGCTACCGACTACGAAGCAACAGTTGCTGTTGAAAACAAATTTGGATGGTCAGGCACCTCAGAAGTCTTCCAGTTCTACACAAGGAAAGGTATGGCACATCCCATGGAGACCCAAGGGATTGGATGTGTATATGGGAAGTGTGATGAGCGTTAACATCTTAAACTAAAACACTGATTTTAGATAATTTATTAGTAAATTATCATTATTAATATTTGTATTATCAAAGGAATATCGGATTGCTCTTATGGAAGGGTCTTACAAAGTATAATTATTAATAATTTTCCCATATATACAATCATGACATGATGTAGCTTCAGAGAAATATGAGCAAATTACCTCAACTTTTGGCTTGTAAATTAGTTCATTGCATCCTTTTAAGCTATATTAGCTTGTTTTCCAGTAAACTGTTTGTGTTTCCTCCGTCTAAATTTTGTTTGAAGTCTACAGCAATATTCCCTGCTTTGAGTTTTGATTGAAAGCTTATTACATTAAATTTTTTATTTAGAACGTCTACAAGTTCTTTGACGTGTAAATGTTCCTTTCTCTAAGATTATTGTATTTCAGAGAAACAAAATTTTAGTAACTACCAGTGGATTTTCATTGGAGAATATTGGGTTCTTGTGAGGTAGCATTCCTCTGTAGGCACAGCCATTCTCATAATATTTGAAGTAAACAAATTGTTTAGGGGTATCTGTCATCCTGCTACTAAGTGAAGACAAAGATAGTTAATGATAAAAAAATTGCCACAAACAGGATTGCAAAATCATTTATCATTCAGGAGTCACAAACTATCCAAATCTACACTAGGAATGTTTGGTTAGTTTAGGTCAGGGTAGTTTAATATTTCTTGTTTTGAAAATATATAGATGATATAACAGTTTTGTTTGTGGTATTTTCTAACATTGACCACTTTTGCAAGTTAATCACCACCTAAGCTGCCAGTATTACATACAGTAACATTGTACAGTACTGCCTTAAAAAAGTAGAACTCTTACTTAATGGAATGCTATTAATTTTCATTAGCAATAATATTTTATCAACTTCTTGGAATGTAATATTTTGAATCAAGACCTTCATAATAACTTATTAATAGTTGAAAGCCGTTTTTCTCTCAGCAGTAAAGTACTGAAGGAGCTTCTTGTATGTCTGCTGTGTTTCCTTGGCTGCTGAACCAAGTCCAAATACTGCTTTTCAGTCCCTCTGTCAACCTCTTAAAGTGTTATATTACATCACCAGATTTTAAACCAAGAGAAACAATAGTTGAAAACACCTACTTCATTATGTGATCAAAGTCAATACTCCATTAACATACTGTATTATATTTTTGGTTTCATTAGATTTCCGAGATATTTAAGTGTGGATCCTGAAGAAGTTTTCCAAATATTTAACAGATTACCTTGGTGAAACCTGAACTCAGCATATTTTTATAGGCAATCACTCATGTCCTGCCACCCTAAATTATCACAGCATCTGCTCCCTTTCACAAATTTTTCATTCATATATACTGTACTGTTTGTCCCCCTTTCTGTTTGTGTCTACATGCCCATATCATATCCTTGGTACTGTACTTATTGTAATGTACTCTACAAATTTCCTCATTTTTCACCTTGCAGACTATACCAGAAAGTATAGTACTGTACAGATAGTAGATTGGGTTGGCTTCATTCCCTTCCTTCTCAATTCCTTATCTCCTTTTTTTTTTATACAGCCACATAAGCTTTGTTTTTACCTCCTTATGTATTATTCTTTTGCTTCATTGTTAAGTGAAATATTTCTTCTTTTGTCCCATCACTTATGTCATTCACTCAAAGTAGTGTCTTTTTTTCTCATAACTATCCTCAATAACAGGTACAGTATTTTCAGTTTAAAATTCACCTTTTCCATATTAAGAGCAGCCTCATTTTACCCAGTCCCACAGTCTTATCATGTATCTTCTGACCAAAGCATAATACCCAGACAAGTCTATTGGGTCCTTATCCAGTGGACCTCTAAACACTGCCCATTGATTAGTACAGTATTACCTATTCATAACAACCACATCCTTCAAAAGCAAATTGCAAAGAACTTATTACTGAAAGCTAGAGGCTAACAAATTGAATACCACAGTAGTAAATACTACATTCTTTACTTTTATCCTCTTCGCCACTGATCGGCTTGTTAGCCGCTTGGGCGATCGGTCACGTCTCTGATTACTTTTCCTTTTCATTTATCTTCTTCACCAAAAGATCGGCTCGCTAGCCGCCCGGGCGATCGGTCACGTCTCTGTCACGCACTGTTGGCAAGTACTGGGCATGCACCGGCTCCTGAATGCATCTGAACCTGCTCCAGTGTTGGTCAAGTCTTGTCTGGAAAGAGCTCACACTCGGTGCCATCACAACACTCTCTGGTAATTTGTTCCAAGAGTTTACAACCCTCACTCCGAAAAAGTTTGCCCTCACAGTTTTCTGGACTTGCGGCTTCTTCAATCTTGAGCTGTGACCCCTTGTGGGGCGAGCATCCGCCAGCTCCAAGTAAGGACACTCGACTGAGTAGTGCCCCCTGAGATGCTTATACACCTCAACTAGGTCCCCCCTTGCCCATCTGTAGTATAAGGTAGGCAAGTTCAGGTGCTCCAATCTCTCTGGGTAGCTGAGGTGCCAGCTCCAACTTTTTCCAAGCTGGCTTAAGTTTCATGAATCATCTGCACCAAGCCTGGACCAAATGACTTGGGTCCCTCCCTCCTCTCAAAGTGTCACTGTATAGTCAGTGAGTAATTGATCCAGTTCAGGTATTCCCAATTTGAGGCTAAGCCTTGAAGTGATGGCCAGAATACACATTTGTTGTGTGGCAGTTGAATTGTTACCCTACAGCCTTCAGTGATATTTTTGTTTACCTCTATTTATCCATTTATGGCCTTTCACTTGACAGTCTTATAGATCTGATTTTAGTGGTTGGGGTTGGGACTGATCTTAAGGTTCATCTGTCTTCTCCAGTAGCAACTGACTTCCTAAAAGGGACAGTAGACGCACAAGTGTGTGACATCCCATTAGTTAGTGCACTCATGGTTCAACCATGATAGGTTTTTGGTTTCAACCCCAAGTTATTACCAGCCATACTTTCTGCTGCGCAGTTGGTTTCACCGGACAGCTTTGGAATGCATCGCTTCAGTTCATTTAGCCCCTTTTCTGGTATTTAGGTTGAGAACCACACAATTTTCAGCGTTAATATAAATATTACAGTTAACTTTGACTGGATATAAGTTCCTTTCTGTCTTAAGAAGAATCTTTCAGGGAACCTGTTTCATCAGTATCACCACCATTTTATGGCTATTTTCCACACTTGCTTGAGTTACCCATGATTACCTGATGGCATGGTGTCCCCGTTCCAGGAAGCCAATTTGAAGGAAGTTTTCCAACCAAATTCCTTTCCTATTGCCAACCCACTTTTACTGAGTGGAAACTAGGCATTTTATGTAAGATTTCCAAATGCCTTCTTAGCTGGCAAGGCAGGGTCACAACTCCCTGAGGTATGGTAATCAAAGGTTGCCCAGATGTGCTTGCAACATGGAGATATTACTTATCAACTGAATAGTTCCAGCTGGCATTGTCTAAGAATCCCCTGGGTGCAGAATCCCCTGGAATTGTCTGGTATTAAGCAAGATGACTGATCCAGCCTTGGTAATAAAGTTGAATGCCAGGATTAGTCCTTCATTTTTCTTGAGATACATTTCACATTTTCTTTCCTTGGTATCACTTTTTTACTTCCCACAAATAAATAAACCTGAAGAGCTTTAATTATTCATTACAGTACTTAATACACCAATTGTATTCCTGATCCCTGTGTTTATAAAAATAGTCCCTGTTACATATTTTGTGCACAAATCAATCGGGTTGTCACAATATCAGTTCAGTTTATTTAATTCAACATTGCCAGTATATTTCCTAAAGTTTTATTTATTATTGATTGCTAATACAGTACTTAAGATGCTTTAGTAATATGATCACTTGTATTGGTGATCTTTTATCCTATTCTGAATGATACTGTTCAGATACTATTACAAAATCATTCATGGTCTTTCTTTCATCTTTTCAATATTTTATTTCTTGTGGGAGGGGGGTGGGATACAGTATTATATCAATCACTTCTTCCTTCTTCCAAATGAACTCCAAATGTGATGAGTAAAAATTTAATACCTGTACGGGAAGACTTCTCTGTTTTGGTCTAATTGAGGTCAAAACCTGATTGATAATTCTTTCAATAAATTTTAGCATACAGGGTATTTAAAATATCTTTGGCATCATTTAGAGTAGATTATTGTAACATCCAGTACTGTACAGTACAGTATAGTCTTGATTTACACGGTCAATTGAACCCGTGGAGGTCAGCGTAAAGCGAGAAACGCGGAAACGAAATAACAGAACGTATGAGATTAATTGAAATAGAGACTGGGCCGACCGCCAGACATCCCTTTTTCCGACACAATACGTACGTTGTGGTAAAAATAACATCTTAATTTTATGATGGTATGCACACACAATTAATATTTAAGAGAATTATCAATAATATTAGATTTTTTAACACTTACGTGAGTAGAAGAGATGGCTGGGCACACGGGGATGGGGGGTTGGTTCCGAGGCAGAGGGCAGATTATTGGCCTTCACCTGTATCACTTGTATCAATTGTATCACTATCCACCACAGAGGCTTGCAGGGCCTCTTTGTCAAACCCCTCAAAGTCCATATCCTCACTATCACTATCACTATCACTGACGTGGGCCGGCTGTGGTGGGTGGCGGGTGAAGAACTCGGTAATGTTTTGTTGACTGGGCGACCTAGTGCGCACCCTGCCCGCGACTTCCCGCGTAAATGATGGAATGTACCGCGTAACTAATAATTGCCGGTCTGGCCAGGTGCCGCGTAAATGACCAAACGCGAAAAGGAAATCCGCGTAAATCCAGACTATACTGTACTACCAGAATCAAAATCGCGAACAATATGTCATTATTGATGTTGATACAGGCATAATACAAAAGAAATTATAGAATTTATATAATATAATATAAATAATAATAATAATGCAGGGTACTTGTACAGTAGTAAAAATATTCCA